TTCTAAAATCTTGTATCCTAAAACCCGAGAGTTCAAAACTCAGTGAATTGAAATCATAGTAATGATGACACAATATCAATAAATAAACTATTTTTATCATATTTTTATAAAGATATAGAAAGATGTTGTACAGTAGACCCCCGATTTCTCGAATCCTCGCAGGTTTTCGAAATTCCCAATAATTCGAACAAACCCATGTGAACATTGTTAGTTTATCGCCATTTTTTCAAACTTTCCACTATGAATAATTTGAACCAATTTGCTTTTCCCAAGATGATCTAAAAAAACGGGATTGGCTCACTGAAAGAGAGTTACAAGAAAGAGTTGCCATGAACACCTTATCACCATTGCAGGTTGGTTTTCTTGCCAGTTATAGAGTTAAAAAGAAGTCAAAGACGAGAAGAAAGCATTTGAAACGAGTGACAATTGTTTTCAGAATCGATAAGTTCGGTAAAATTGAAAGTAATGCTTGCCTAATAACAAAATTGGAGGATGAGCAGTTAATTATCTCATTAACTTGGTTAAAAAAGTAGCAGAAGAGAACTAGGGGGAAGGCTTTGATAGACCGTTTTCTATTAAAACTTACCACGCTTTCCATACCAAAATAATCAAATCCTCTCCTGCCGTACATCTTATGTGGCTTTAAAGCTCCTTCGGAGTTGCTTAGTTCACAATCATGTAGTTTAGTGAGAGTTACTGTCCGACCAAAGTTAAAAGAAAAGCAGCTGCCTGGATACATCCGCAAACATAAAAAAGCGCATTCCACTTCACTGGTTGTCTGTTTTACCACAGTAACGTTACCTATTAAGGATGCTTCTTTTACGCTGTAAAACATAGCTGTATCACCATGGCTATCAACATCAGATGGATCAGTGATAAAAGCCAGTAGAAAGGAGAACAGGACCACAGAATTCAGTTGAACAGCTGAGAATTGGGTAAACGGCCAATACAGAGCCATTGCATATCATGTACGTTTCTCCCGTAATCAAGAGGAAGACTTCTGAAGCCACAAATGTAATAATTGGTCAAAAAATTATAATTGAAGTCCTCAAATGTAACAGGGGCGTAACAGGGACTATAGGTGATATCATTTATTGGCACAGTTGCATCGATGTTAGTTTATTTATACGACACGCATGGTAACGATTTCTTAATAAATTGATAACCCTCCCCCCGCCCCCCGCTCCTTGCACATAGTTGCCGAGGTTGTAGCGAAGTTGAAATATCTTTTGAAATGAAAATCAGCCACTCAAAACATTATTTTATTTGTTTTATACTACATCCAGATATCTCAATGTTGAATAACAACTTAGCACTCTTAGAACTGCACTTCGTTTTCTCAACGCTGAATCCACATTAAGGACACCACGCGAGGTTTAATTCTTCTGAAGTATGGTGATCGATTTTAAATGACGAAACATATTTTTTCTTTTAATGGTAGGATTATACAACTTACCTTTACATGAGAGTGAGGCTTTACCCAACTTAAGATGGCGATGGTGAAAGATGTCAGTTCTGCACAGTCACTGGGACACGCACTAATTAAGCATCTGTGATAAGGTCCTGTTGAAATTCATTTATTTATTGCTTATTATATTGCGTATTGCTTAAGCCATTTCAATAATTAAATTAACTATTAATAAGAAGCACAGTTATTCTGATGAACCTTATACATAGAAATTTTAGCAGTAACACTGATATTTAAAGGATAATAAACCAAATTAGTCAAACCAGCCGCCCTTTGAAAAAGATGTAATTATGCTACCTTTGAAGAAAAAAAAAACGAGTAAAGATTATTTTCTGAAAATTTATAGTGTTCTACAAAGCTGTAGGACATTTGCTATGCAATTTGCAGGTGGTAACAGGTTTTGACATCGGATTGAATTTTGCCACACCCGTCCATTGTTATAGACATTCTTGAAAGTTCTCCAGAACAAATTAATCAACCTCCAGTGGGGCTAATAATCATCTCCAAACCAATAAAAAGAACATCAAAATCAGATCTGTTTGCCAAAAAAAATTTCAAAGAACAAATCATATAAACTATAAAGGATTAAAGACGGATACAGAGAATTTACGTTAGATGAAGCAAACCAACTTAAAAGCGTAACGTTTTACCAAATGCAGCAGAAACAGCACTCAAATATGATAAATCGTTCGCATGATATCAACCGGATAACGGAAAACTAAACCTACCAAAATAATAAAACTGCACAGTTGGGTGGATTCTAATCTTTCACATAAAGTTAAATAAATTTATATTTCCTTTGTTAATCAATCCATGCATTAACCCAAACATATATATGATAAAGTAGTTTCAAGATACTCCCCTCTAGATTAAGACTTTTTAATTTCCGGACCCAAGTGCATCTTCAAGGAAACAATTATGAACTAGCGTAAGAAATATTAATAACACTAAACATTCAGACCATATATCATGCATAAGAAAAGGTGACGTAAGAAGGGAGTCCAGGCCTGAAACCTTCTACCCTTACTTGCTATCCCGAAGCTGTCTTCGTAAGAAATTCGAAAATGGCATACCGCCTTGAGATGTCCTGCTCACTTACGTAGTACACTGTACAGAGCTCACGACGAGCATTAATAAAAATTGTGGCGACTTAAATATAGAATTGATTGTAGTAAAATTTACCTTGTAAACGCGGAAACAGCAATATTATTTTATTTCCTACAAATTACGATCGTAACAGCCAGAACCAATGTATAACAGTAGGATACTACCTTCAGCCTTCCTTGTTTTCCTCAGTGCTGCATCATAAATCGATTGCTCTTAACATTTGTGTTTTAGACGTTCTATCTAGCATTTCGTCTCGCTCAAGCAGTCGCTGCTTTCCGTTAAATATTTTGTTGCTTCTTCTGCAAGGTGAAAAATTTCAATCTAAATCTTAATCCACAGCTAGCGACCTTTACTCAGCTAGAACATCAACGACGGCATTGCACACAGATAACACGTACGCCCAAAGTTTAATAATTTTAAATCTGACGGCTCTTCGTCTCGATGTTGTTATGTTCCCACTTTTACATATTAAGAAGCCATTAATTGATATCTGTGACACCCTTCAAACTTCTGTCAATCCTCACAAGCGTTCATCTAGCAAACGATCAGTCAGCTGGCGTCATCGATTGTAATTCATTGCCTAGCAACTTAAACATTTCTCTCTTCTGGCGAGTTGGGCCCCCTCTTTAATTATTATTATTAGTAGTATTATTATTACTATTACTATCACTGTTGATTAAATTAAAACTTCTCGCACTTACTCAATTGCTTTACTTATAAATCTTTTGTAAGAGGAAAAACGTTGCGTGCCGACACTAAATTTTGCAGGTTAAGTTTGAAAATAGTAAGAGATCATAACTGGCGGCCCAAACGGTATGCAGCACCTTTTGACAGTGATGACTCAGACCTTAACTGATTAGATTTATGTATTCCTAAAGATTAGTTGGTTCTGTTAATGGAGATGTCAATGTAAAAAGCTGTGTTTATTGCGAGGATAGAACTCATTGCAGTAAAACGTTCGTAGTCGTGAAATGATTCGCAATTTGATTTTATAGCGCCTGAATATAAGTACTCAGACTAAATATGACTACTTGCAGTTGTGATTTCCAGTTTTTTCCGCTCCCCCCCCCTCCCCTTTTATTTCTCTAGGCTATACGGGGTTTGATGCAGAGTTTTTTAATGCGATTGTGTCATAACAGCCTCCTTTGGTAGGTGTTAATGGCATTGTCAACAATATGACGTTGGACTAGAATTCAGACTTGTATTGAGCTATATACGGGACCTTGAAAACATAAGCTGACAAATCAGAGGAGCGGACTGCACCAGGGGTAGGGAAGGGTGCTTGTGTGGGACTGATAAAAAAAGATATCAATTCTCCTGCGTAATCAATTTATTTATCGTTACGTTTTTATTACAAAAGCAGATAGACTATTAATACATTCTAAATAACTTTATCTGGTTGCTCTGCGACGGAAACACTGTTAGAGGGTGAACCATCTTTGATTACACCGGTGATAACCTTTTTCTATATAAAGCCCACAAAAAGGGACATTTTCCTACGTTGTCTTATTAGATTAGAAATGAGCTACTTCATGCACTTCACTTCGATATCTAAGTTATAAATCAGACTGGACACCCAGCAGTTTCACCACATATAGAACACCGAACGCAGAAATGAGTGTTTGCTCTCCCTACAAAAAGGAAAACATTTCAAAGGAAACGATATTCACGTATCGGATAACCTAACACGTTGTTGCTTGTCAATTCTTATGCCTTTGGCTTTTGAATTGTCAGTCAACTATGGGAAAGAAAATTCGGTTTTAACCATTTTTTCTCTAATATTGGACAAAGGACTGGATAAATTCTGCATAAAGTTTACGTTAAGAAACGAAATAAACCGGTAAAATGTGATCCCTTGATCGCTTAAGAGGGGAAACTATTTAACTGATTTTTTTCTCCTCAGTCTGTACCTAATTTATATAGCATCTGATTCCAATTTCAAAATATTTCACTACGAATGGAATAAATCAATACGCTCCTTATAAATCACAATTAAATATTCATAATTTGGAATTAATGTACTGTACATTAAATTCGTCACTAACTTCCTAAGTAAATATAGACTAATTGAAAACTTAACTAGTAATATTTTCTAATTAAACCATCGCACATTAAATTTTACCTTATTCTAGTATGGTAGACTTTTTCGTTTGTTATTTTATACAATTATTGCTAACACTTTATATTCTGATAATTTTTCTACCTACATTATTTTTATTTTAAATTTTTCTTTCTTGTTTAAAACAGAAAGACATTAACTTTACCGAGAAGAGGATAAATAATGAAAAAATACAGACTCAGAGCAAAGTATTTATAAGAAACAAAACACTTAGACGTTATGACACTGTCTTCATCTGGGCCCAGTTGCTCGAAGCATGGTTAGCGTTAACCAGCGTTTAATACCTTGACAACGTATTGGTTTTGATACTGCTTAACCAATGGTTAAAGCTAACCATGCTTTGAGCAACTCAGCCCTGATATGTGGTTTTAACGGTCACGTGACCTTCATCTCGTGACCGTTTACAACACTAAGCAAGGTGGTGGGGGACCTGGTTCTCTTAACTGTATACGAGGCTTAACACTGGTCACATTAAGGACGATCAATCACCCTACTGACAAGACAACCCGGTAACGTCGAAATGCTCTGTGACTTTTCTGAGTACTGTTGTTGATGTTGATTCATTATCTTGGCTAGTAATTTGTCAAAAAATATTGGTGTCATATAATTTCTTCGTGTTTGACCAACTTGGGAATTACCGATCACTTCCTAAGAGAGCTCGTTACAATCATCAACCTAAAGTCTCAACTTATTCGGATGAAATTTCTCTTTGTAATCTTTAAGCTTAATCAATAAAATTAGAAAAGGGAACAAACAGGACAATCTGAGAGGATTGGCCCACGTCAAAACAACAGGATACGCTTCGTCCTACCAGTTAAGCAGCAAGTATAATGAAGTAACAGTTAAACGTTACTTCATTATAATTATATCGAAACCAAATTCCGGAGCTGAATTCTAGTGACAATAAGCTAATTTAATCCTTCAGTAGAGTTAACAAAAGCAAGTGGTAAAATGGAAAAGGTCAGACTGACAGTCCGTTGGTTTCTTAGCCTCTGCTTTGTCGGTTGAGTACTGTTGCCAATGAATCTGAAGTGGATTTTTACCGTCAGATTCTTCACTGATGCCATTTTTAAGGCTTAAAGTTTGCGTAGTCGTCGAAGGCTGATAAGTATTCTAGGATTGCATAGTGGATGAATCGATATTCGGCCTGAGAAGAAAAAAATAAAAAAAATAAATATTAACAAGTCTAAAGGGAACGTAATTCTATGGGGAGAAGAGTTCCACTACGATAAAACAACAGCATTATTGTTGAAGCTCTTGTCTAGACAGCCGGATTTTGAGGAGTTTTTTCCTAAGAACACACATTAAAGGACTATAAAATCAATAGTCTTAAACAACTGAAGAAGGTACTAATTGCTTTCATAGACTTCGGCCTGGCTTAGATAACCACGTAGAAACTGCGGTTTCGTCTCCAGCACGGAGGAATACTTACTTCAACTCTAATTTTCATACAGTTATACCATGTTAAACGTCGGTAGAGAGCAAAAAGTAAAACGCAGCATCTTAGCACGACGATGCCATTTACCTACCGTTGTCTTGACTAATCCAGGACGAGGAATTCTCATTGCTTTTATAGCTTGAAACACATCTACAACCTGTTCAATCTTAAGACGCTCTAACACCGAGTATAACGCACAGAATGTTCCACTGCGACCAAGACCGTCACTAATAGGAAAGTTAGAATGCGAAAAAAAATTATAAGAACCACTACAGGAAAACAACAGAAAAACAAACACGAAGTCCCTTTTCACATTTCGTCCGTCAATTTTATTTTTCAACTTGTTTTGTACTGTCAGAAATGTACGGTATGTATCAATGGGCGAATTTTTTAATTTTGGTTTCTTTTGCTCATTTTGTCAAGCAACTCTACGGGGTGAAGGAAGTGTTTTGTTTTTGTTTGTTTATTACTATTTTTTATATTTCTGGTGCTGGTTTTGAGGGGCAAAATAGCTGACGGATTCTAAAACAACCTAAGTTGCCAGTCGCAATTACTTTTAATGATGATCAAGTGCATAACAACAAAATAGTGCATGCCAAAACATATATTTCACCGACCTGCACACTACGGTGATAGGACCGTTTCCAGAATGCTGCTGCCATCGTTCCACTTTGGCGATAAGGGAGATAAGGCCTGAACAAGGAGGCACGTCTGTCTCATCTACCCAACCGCTGTACTGAAACATCTTTATTCGCAAACTCTTTTCTGGCGTCTTTTAAGGTCATCGACAAAAGAGAAAAAATTATGTCCTGATATTGAAAAACACGCAAGCAAAACAGGAAAGTAACGAAAGAAACAACAAGCAACGTTCAAAAAGCGTTCTCTCAACCCTGAAACATCACCTTAACTTTAATGTTGGTGAAACAAGCGCGACAACTCCGGCAGTGTTCTCTGAATACGGGGAATCCAAAAATGGCGAAAGCATGTACACTCACAAATGACAATCTCAGACACGAGAAAAGGGGGTCTTAGGGGCGTGGGACCTTTACCATCGCCAGTAGACTGTTGCTTAGGTAAAGGAAAATATTTGACCCCGTCGGACAAAGAATACAACGATGGTCAAACATTTTGTAACATCGGTCAAAAGAAGTGTGAATATTTTGGTTGATTAACTTTCAGCATCAGACCTTGCTGCGCTCTTCAGTTCACAGTAATGTCACTCTAGGATACTCTATAAAGTCAAATTAAATTAAAGCTTTTGCATGCTGCCCGCTACATCTTCAACTTCAATCACCGGCACTCATTTAAAGATCTACTTTAACTCTTTTCTTGGCTTCCATTCTTTTCATTTTATTAAATCCCGCTGAGCTTCAATACACTTACCCTTAGATCAGTTGCTTTGAAGGACTTCTCGTTGATCTCTGTTTGGTCGTAATTCGCTTTTAGGTTGTCAACGCTACTGCTGATGGCGGACGCATGAAGCCGCTGAACTGTTATCATGTCATCGTAAGTTGACTCTTCTTCAGGCCAAAACAGAGGGAAATCCTGCAGAATTTTAACATATCATAAGCTTTACTTAATCAATTATTTGCTCTCTTTTTAACGCCGGAGTGCTAGAAAGAAATATGACAGAAGAAAGAGTTTTAAGGAAAACATTACAAGAGAATATCGAAATCAATAATCTTGTTTTACCCCATCTTCCTCGCTGGAATCAAAGAGTACTACACAGCTACACTCTTGCTCACAGAGCATGCGCCAAAAGTCCGTCACAGTTGGTGTCAAGGGGTGTTGCGTTACAATGAAGGCATGTTGCTGCTTATAACCCTGAAATAGCAAAAGGAATGTAGCATCTGTATTACTTAAGGTCTAGATAATCTGCTTAAATTGTACTTACCAAATATATTTATTATTTATTCCGCGGAACATTTTTCAGGCTCTTCTGCAGAAGCTGCATTTTTTTAATCAACTAATTAATTAACTTGTCACTTTGCATGCGCTCTAACTGCAGTTTTAACAGGCCATTCCTGAGTTGCTCTAAACTTTGTTTTGAAAACAGGGGTGATATTCTTTAGTTGTTTGGAAATGTGAAAAAACAATTCTCATTTTCACATGAGAAGGTTCGCATTTGACTTCAATATAAATGTTGGCCCGTCCGTCTCCCCCAGGTTTTGAACTTTGCTGTCCTATGGGATTCCCCTCCAGCCGGGTTTTTAGTGGCACTACTTACCGGGATATGGACGGCGTTTATGTAGGAGGTGACTTCATTGTCATCAATTGCAGTGAGCACCACACGATAAAAGTCAGCTGCCAAGAGAAACACAATATGGTATTTTTCCCCATCTTCTTTCAGCCTTAATAAGGCCAACACTGTCTCAATACGAGCCACGCTAATTTACGGAAATTTTGGACTGGATTTACCAGCGAGTACGGTGGTAGAAACGGACCCCAAACCTTCCGCACTTAAATCATAATTGGAATTGATATCAGTTTGCATGTCGTGATGCTTTTTGTTGAATGTTTCTAGTCTAGACCTAGTTCAAACAACCACGACATTGGCAGATCATTCACATCACTGATTGTGAAGATGTTGTGGCTGTTTTACCCCCCCTCAAAACATGTTGTTAAGCTTTGCCACAAAATCGTCACAACATTTCTTGTGTTCTTGATAAAAGCATAAACGTAAACAAACAAACAAGAAACAAAATAAACATTAAGGAGGATTAAGTCATACTTTACACGGGACCCGAACTGGCTCTATTTTGTTTCCTTTAAAATAATTCCAAACTGCTGACGTCAGATACGCTAATCGTAATAATGCCTGTTTCAGCCAATTTAGCCAAATCAGCCACTACTTAACAATGATCACTTAAACATTAAAGGAAGGTTTGTCGTTTGTAAGAAATACAAATGTAACATATGTGCCTTCGCCTACGTCAGTTTTCCTAGCAATAAACAGCAAAATTGGTCATCATCAAACGAACTGACGATTAAGAGCACAATAAAATGCATTATATGCACGATCATCTTACAAATGGCTGCATCACTCTTCAGTTCGTCATTAGGGAGCTTAAGGAACGACGACGGCGACGGCAACGAGAACGACAAAAAAGTAATAGCAAAACAGCAACTTTGCACGTGCATCACGCTTTTTTGTACATTTCTTTGCCGTTGTTGCACGACTACAACGTGTAAGTGCCTAAATTCACGTTTTGTCGAGGACGGGAACACACGACAACAATTTTCTTTTTCTCTTCCTGAACTTTGATAATTCAGAAAAGTCCTTTAGAATTCAACTCCAAAAAAATTTGCCAACGTTTGACGAGGTAAACGAGATGCAGTAAGCGCGATAAAGTTTGAAGCAGGGCAAAATCACTTTTTAAGTGACGTTTTCGTAGCCGTCGCCGTGGTTGTTGCTTAAGCTCTCTATTACTGTTAGTAAAAACTTACGCACTAAAATCTCCGGATTCCTGTTCTTTTCCTTGTTCTCAGGATATGAGGCAACTGAATAGCTTGCTTTGTTATAAACAGGACTAACTTTATTGAGTGTCTGGGAAATAAAAGCAAAAAAAACATCATGAGACCTAACCGATACCACAACGAAATACTTCCGTAATTCCCACCACCGACATTTCGAAGGCCAAGAAGACCTGGCTATCAAAACTATTCACACGTTAATGTCATCTGAGGAGGTAAAAACTGGCCTGAAATGGCTCACCTTGAACTCAGATTCAAATCGTGTTACTTTAGAGTCTTTGCTTGCGTCATCCATACGAGCCAAGGTGATCCTCAAATCATGTGCATATATCTGTGTATTGCCGCACTGTACAGCTTCCAAAATGGCATCATGACAAAATGTGTATTGTTCCTGAGAAGTAAAATGACGCTCATAAGACCAACGAAATAACGAACGGGTAAAGTAGCTACTAATATATTTCTTGGGCTAAAATCTCTTTGTATTGAACTATATTTGCTGGGAAGTGATTTCGAATTTTCTTATTTTTAAAAAGCTCGTAAGCGGTAGCCCCTGAAGCTTTTTCCATCGTCGGGGCCTTAGTGGAATAAGTAATAGTACTTGTTATGACCTTNGCCAAGGTGATCCTCAAATCATGTGCATATATCTGTGTATTGCCGCACTGTACAGCTTCCAAAATGGCATCATGACAAAATGTGTATTGTTCCTGAGAAGTAAAATGACGCTCATAAGACCAACGAAATAACGAACGGGTAAAGTAGCTACTAATATATTTCTTGGGCTAAAATCTCTTTGTATTGAACTATATTTGCTGGGAAGTGATTTCGAATTTTCTTATTTTTAAAAAGCTCGTAAGCGGTAGCCCCTGAAGCTTTTTCCATCGTCGGGGCCTTAGTGGAATAAGTAATAGTACTTGTTATGACCTTTTTATGCTTGGTTGTGTTGAACTTACACCTGGTGTATGTTGAACTTATACTACGTTACGTTATGTTATGTTAAACTTACACCTGGTTCAAAAGTACTGTAACGCAGTACATACCTCCGTTTGTACCATGGCTGTCCGTCTCGTTCTCAAGTACGCTACAAAGTTGTAGATGTCAAGTGTATTTTCCGCTTTTATCCGGTCCAACATGCTGTCGACTACCATGAAAGTACCCGTGCGCCCAACACCAGCACTAAAAACAAAAGCAGAGGATCTTAGGGAGACGAATACACAAAAATCACAAGCACAGATCACGTAAATTGGAGAGTGATCTGCAACACGAGCAGCGTGAGCTGAACGTTTTGAGGACTTAACTGACCTTTATTAACGCCAGTATTCAGAAGCCTCGAAAAGCTATACTTCCCGCAAAATAAACAGCGCTTCACCGTCCCATTCTAGAAATACGGGAAGACGGGCAAATGAACGATCCGGCTTTGCAGTCTCTCCTACCTGGATATTCCGTGGAGGAACGGTCGCTTTCCGAAATAGAGTGGTGTTATCCTCAAATGGACACAAAAATACGGCAGGCATATTAGCGACAGGAGGCCGCAACAGGCAAGATACAGATACCTACCTGAGGGGAAATTAGTCTGCTTAAGAAAGCTATCTGTATTGACGCCCGGTGCAGAAGACTACATCAAAATATACAGACTGTATAGCGATAAAGATAAGCGACAATCAAATATTTTTGTCCACCTGTTAAGGTCTGTAACCTACCTGCAGTGCACTACCAAGGGGCCAGCGTCAACGGGGTTGTATCTTCTAACTCGTCTTCTGAATGCTAGCAGTGCAGTTGGATATTCAGGAACTCCATGATCAGGCCATACAGTAAAATGAAACTGCTTCACTTCTCGCTCTTCTTTCTCACTTTCCTGATGCAAAAAAACAAAACAAAAAAACACCACATTAATAAACGCCTACGTATAGTATTCTTGACATAAATAATGGTTATTATCGGTAGGTAAGTTTAGGGTGCGTAATTTCGTCTTGTACTTCACTAGCACAACAAAATTAGGCAGCATTCTTTTTCAACGTTCTTTTAAAGTGACAACAACACCAAATCTGAAACAGCCGCAGCATTGTCGACAGCTGGTAAAAGCAGTAAAAAAGCTACAAAAACAGCAACAGCAACATTTACAGAAATTGACAACCACTATCAAATAACAAGAACATGCGAAATAAAAGCCGGGATTGCAAAGCTGAACAAAGCTGTAATAATAGAGAGCTTTAGATTGAGGAAGAGAATGACCTCGAGTACGGGACTTGACTTTAAATTTTTTCGCGTATTCTCAAAAAGCAGACACCAAGGAAGGCTTGATTGAACTTTTCTTCTACCAGAAAAGTCATAACATTTATCTTTATTGAAGGAGGTCAAGCCATCTCCTGATCGCAAAATGATAAAACGTCTAATATTTGATAATTTTTTCCGTGACTTGCGACTAGTACGTCATGACGACGGCTATCACGTTTCCCGCCAAAATGACGCTGGCTCACGCGTGAGCACTATTTAGTACCACTTAGTATTGTGAAAATCTCGTACTTGTAGTCGTCTTCATCTCAGAATCTAAAGGTCTCTAACAACGACAACAACAACTCACCCGCTTCAAATTGAATGTTCTTATAATGTAGTCTGAGTAATGTTCTTGCTTGACAAGCATCACTGATATGTCTCCATAATCCTGGGTCTCATCCGGCCAGTACTTATGGCACTTCAGCTGTAAGGAGATATCATATCAATGGGGTAAGAATGGATGAGGAAGAAACCAACACCATTTATCATGAACAGTTTCATTAAAGCAATTAAGTACTAGAAAAGCATTTATCTTTAAAAAACCTCACTAAGGAAGAGATCTGGAGGTGCAAACTAAAGATTTCCTAAACGGGGTCTAAGTTAGACTACGTTTATATAACCGACCCAAAGGGTTTAGTTTGTAAAGAAACTGTGGGGATGCGTCTGTGAGAGAATGAAAAACAATCCTTTCTGTGGTGGCCAGTCTACTTTAACAACACAGTTGATTGAACGATTTCTTTAAATTTCGCCACGCCAACGTTTGCGCGTTTAGTACCTTCTACGCGCATTTTTTGCTAATTGTTGTGTGGACTAAATAGGGTCAACACCTTTTTACCTTATGTCTTTCCTGAAGATTTGTCAACATCACAATTGAGGATGACTGCTGTTCCCAGACCATCCGCCAGAAATCATCGAAAGTGGGAGGGACTGGGCCTTATGGGGAAAAATTCGTACTGAAAATTAGGCTCTTCCGTATATAATATCAACGATATTAAAGAACGCTTTGGGAATGACGATTACGGACGACTTCGAACATCACAGATCTTTTAAAACACCTTGACGGGAAAAGCGTCTGTTCATTTATCCAAAAGTATATAACTCAGGATTCACTTTTTACGAGCCAATAGAGGCAAGGTCTTTGAAGAGTGGAGATGTTAAGCTCCATTCTACAAAAAGTAGATTTGGGTGACATTATACAGGTGACACAACAGTGAAAGAGAGCGTTTTCACATACCTTGGGTAGCAATATATGCGTTGGGTTTGTTGTAACCCTGAAAGCAATGATACAAAACGTGAACATGTATAATGTAGTGAGGCCTGGTTGTGAAGCCGTACTTTTCATGCGCCGAACTTAACTGAATAAGCTCGCCTTTGGAGCGACACTGGCGCGACATCTGATGCAGACTGCGCACCGCGTGTCGAGCCTAAGTTAAGTTCGACAAAAGTTCGACAGAGTTGCCGCACCAAACGCTTTTGCCGCACGAAATTGATTCAGACGCCGCTCTTTTGCCGTACTTAATTCATCAGTTAGCTTCGGCACAAGATTGAAGCGGCGTCAGAACCGGGCCTAAGCTTCCCAAGCCTTGTTTATATCTTCACAAAGGGTCTCGAAAATTCATGTCAAATTTGGGCTTAAACAAAAGGTTCTTAACCAAAACTTACGTCAACTCGTGAAGCATTGATGTAGTCTGATCCTACAATTCCATCCACTGCAGACAGAACTACACGTGAATGGTCATCTGCATAGAAGAAAACATCAGGACAAATTAAACGTTATGAATGTTACTTCACGACAACGGACAGGTGATGATAACTGACATTTAAACAAGCAAGATAGGATAACCTCTCTTAACCTTATGATAACTGCTCTTACATGCAATAATGTTGGCATATCTATTTTTTGCTTTGTTCTCAGGTAGCACGCCATGGTTGATTTCATATTCTTGCCCACTGTCTAGTTTCTATAATAATAAAACATAAAGAAGTTAAACAGGAAACGTAGAGGTATTTCTGTTTGGATCATTCTTAGTTTGTACCGCAAAATGAGAACAGCCGACCAAAGCACCACCAGGGGAAGTGGCATTATGCTGTAACCAAATTGAATTCGGCCTTTAAAGAACATAAGGAGATAACTAATTAAAAAGTAAACTAAATAGAAAAGGAGCAGATTTTTAGAGGTAATAGGGTTAAATGGAGTTAGGGCAAGGATGAAATCTAGCCAATACTAGTTATTTGTATTAAGGGACATGTGGAAAGTTCCGGGGCTTTTACATATAATTTTATATTGCTATTTTTGTTCAGCTCGGAAGTGAGAACAAAATATTATGATAGCGTTATCATAGAGCATGCTAGACAAAGCAAAGACAAATAAACACCACCAACAACAACATAAAATACAAACAAGGTTATCTTATAGTTATTATGTTGCAAGGTTGTGAGTTAAAGATAGTAATTCAAAGGCGACGTTTAGAGCGTAGCAGTTAATACAACCGATACTGCAAAGCTTAATATTATTACATTGTATTCGATCATGTATCCCCGGTCATCTGACTTGTGCAACTTGATCACGTGTTTTGCGAACTGTTCCACTGGTATAGGAGGATGGTCTGGATCATTTACAAACTCGCCTGGGAAGGCTAGTACTCTCTTAAGCGTACCTGTAACAAGTGAAATATACTAACAATAAACAAAGAAAAGAAAAAACACGCCAAACAAACTAAGGAGCACGCCTGGGAAGGCTAGCACTCTCTTTACCGTACCTGTAACAAGGGAAGTATACTAACAATAAACAAACAAAATAAAAAAAACAAAAACAAACAAAACAAACTAGGGAGCAAGCCTGGGAAGGCCAGCACTCACTTTAGCGTACCCGTTATAAGGGAAGTATATTAAAAAAAAAAGAAGACAAAAACAATAATGAAACAAACAAACAAACTTGGGTGTAAATCAAGATGAAATCAACAATGGTTCCGCTACTCACTATTGCGTTTCATCTCAAACTCCCGTCGCTTTCTTTTCTGGTTTTCCACATCAAGGTTTGCGTTTGGTGTTCGGTTGGTCCTGTAGTTAGCGAAAATCAAAGAGAGAGAGAGAGAGAGAGTAAAAAAATGTTCTTTTGACACATTAAAAAAAAACTAATCTAGAACAAAATGGGTTATTTTTATACAAATAAAAGCTACCTAGGATTTAGTTCATGTGGTGCTGTTTGATGCTTGGCAGAGTTGCTCGAAATTTTGGGAAGTGAAAAGAAGTCCTACAGTGTTACTTTTAAATGAAAGGTGCTAACAATCAATACGTATCTTTTGTGCTTAAGAGATTGCTGAGTGAATGGACTATTCAGAAATCAAGGCTTCAGTAACGCCAGGTGTTGTATAATATGATATTGTTTATTATTTTCCTGCAATTAATATTTACAGCTAACAAAAGCAGAATGTAGTACTTTTTATAGAGAAGGACGGCGATAATTATGATGACAATCAGAACCAGAGCTCCCAGAACACCAGCTATTATACCAACATTGTCACTAGGGGCTGTCTGAACAGGCTCTGCAGCTGAAAAAAAAAAGCAAGAAATGAAGACTTTAGAAGAAAAGAAAAGACAGTCGGGCAGGAATTCATGATACCGACGTTAAGTCTAGAAATACACCACAAGTAATGTCGAAAATAAGGCAAAACTCACACACACCTCCTCTACCAAGCAATGAAAGATTGATCATCGATAACTTACAAATTTAAGCTAAAGTAGAAACCTACCGGTAGGGGGAAGGGTAATTTCAGCAGGCTCTCCGTAAACCAATTTCTGCGTATTAAAAAAATAATAGGTCACTTTGGACGATATTATCAATGTAAAAGAAAATAAAAAGAACATAGTAAGTCTGTCTCGAACAGAAGCCACTGAGGTTTCCTCAGACTGCCTGTGCGCGGCGAAAATTCTTTAAATAATGTTGCCAGAAGTGGCCCAAACGATCGCGCCACAAATTATTGTTGTTTTGTTTCTTACCCCCTTAACTTTAGTTGCTGCTCTCACATACACCTTGTACTTTGTCATCGGCTCCAATGGCGCATTATTGTAACCACCATAGGTCTCTTCATCACCAAGGACAAACTTTCTAGGAACCTGTTCTTTATCTCGATCAAATCTGGCAGCAATATAATATTGATCCCCATTGGCCATTGCCTTTTTGTAGCCAAGAATGGTTTCTGGTAAAGAGGATGTTGACCGTTTGTTGACTGTTGTGAGCTTTTCCACTACAACTTCATGAGCACTAGTTTAATACAACAAAATCATACACATTTAAGCCTTTAACGAGGGAGTACAATCTTACGTCTCATTTACACCAACAAAACATGTTTATTTAACCGACAGGGTGTGAGAAAATGAAAAACAGCTGGAGGAACTAGAACTACAACATTGTTCCTGCAAATATAGACTGTTCACAGTCCCCTATTTTTTCGTGAGAGCGTTTAGATATACCGCGTCTTACGGTCACGGCTATCTTGATTTTTAAATGTACCTACCGAGCGGGCGTCGGGGATTATAGCTCGGGGAGGGGGGGGGGGGGGGGGGGGGGACTCCCCCTCCCCTTCTGCCGTTGTCATAACTTCTTGTGACATGCCGCGAGGAATTGGTTCTGTTTCTCTCACTTTTTTTTTTTTTGGAGGGGACGAAATATTTTAAATTAGTTGTTTTTTTTTTTTTTTTTTTTTTTTTAACACTTCCAAGAAAAGAAAAAAAAAAAAATTTGTTCAACAAGAGGATTTGGAAAAAAACGTTTGTGGGGGGGGGGGGGGGGGAGGAGGGGGGGGGGGGGGGGTGCGGGGAGAAGGTCGACAAAAAAAAAATTGACACTCATGCAAGATGGCAGCCCGTAACGCAAAGCGCTCGATCTCGATGATCTTACGGAAATATAGAGGACTGTGCACAGTCTATGCAAATACAAAAAAGCTAACTTTATCCCTATGAATAAAAAGGATCATGAAACAGACAAATGCAACTATCGCCCCGTTTCATTGCTAAGCGTTTCGGGTAAAATTATGGAGTCAGCAGTTGCTTCATTTATCATGTCTCACATTTCTGACAACAACCTTTAACTCACATCAGTGCGCATACAAGAAAGATCATTGTACTGAACTTTTACTAAGTAAAATGACCGAAGAATGGAAAAGAGCACTTGATAACAACATGGTAGTCGGGATCGTATTCCTGGACTAGCTTTTGATTCTATTTCTCATTATGTGCTGCTTCAAAAGTTGCAAGCTGATCGTCAAGTCACCATTGTTAATGGCTGTTGTTCTTGCTCGAGTAAAGTTATGCTAGGTGTCCCTCAAGGACCTGTGCTCGGTCCCTTCTTATTTTCTCTCTTCTGTAATGATTTGCCAGACATTGTCAGTGACTGTGATGGTGAACTGCATACGTATGCTGACGATACCACCATGTAACTAATTGACCTAATCCAGACGTGGTAGCAGCCTAACTTAATTCCATTTTGAATAAAAGTCACGAACTGGTTTCGCAACATTCTTTTTTTTTTTCACACAACACCCGGGCAAGACAGAATTTATGCCCCTAAAACGACGATGTGACTTAAATAGTCCAAACACGTTTCTGAATTGTCGAAATTGTTCACACAGAAACTTAACCCGCTGAAATCAGTTTATTTTCTACAAGTTGACGCCCTCTTGAACTTCAACCACAAAGTAATATTACCATTCATTGCGTATGGTCTAATTTTGTGGGGAGCAAACATTGTGTGACGAACTTGAACGCATCCACGTAAGAGGTGCTAAAATAATTTACCGTCTAGACTGTAGCCTGATTCTCAGACGTCCGTGGTAGGTCGCGGGAAGCGAAGGGACCGCGAACGACCTCGGACGTCTGAGAATCAGGCTATCTAGACTGCTGCACACTAGCTGAAGACGTCTTGAACACTTTCATATGGTAGCCGGTGAACCGAAGCTCTCTGTTTGAAGATACGGTGAAATAATCTTACCCTTCCCTCTCCTCGTGATTCTTTCACCCTTTCCCAAAACAGAGAGCCTGTTCACAGGGTAACAAATGGAAGCCTTTGAAGAATATTTCGTACACATGTTACAACGAGCGCATGCCCTCCCCACTAAAACACTTATTAGTTAAGCATGAAAACAAATAAAGTTTAAAAAATCAGTTATGTTTCAACATGCCGACCCCCAAGAAAGAGATAGTAAAGAAGTAAACTAAAAATATGTGCTTCTGTTGAACAATGATGGTAAGAGAAAAATCAACTGTTAAGAAAATTTTAAACGCTGAGTGAAGAAATTGTTCTCTAGATTTTATACAATGCAATTTTTTAGTACTAGCTATTGGTGGTTTTTAATCCAATTTTAGCTTTTTTGTCTAAAACATATCATTTTTTTCTTGCCTTGAACGTATCGGTTTTATTTATTTTAATTCTTAATTATGTAAATATTTCTCATATCAGCGTCACTGTAATTTGATCGCGTTTAAATAAATGCTTTACTTACTTATTTACTAGAAAACTGAAAAATTAGCGTCTACGTAGGATCCAAGATAGATTTCACTTCGCGACAAACTAAGACTTTCAAAAAAGTCCTTCCCTGAGACTTTGTCGCTCCCTTGGCCGCTTCACGGCTTAAAGAGCTCGCTTCTCCAGCTTAGAAACTCCTAAAAATTACGCTCCGTTCCCTTTGCCTCAACCTGTGGCAAGTCTTGGGCAAACTTTAAATAACAAGGTGACCCAACTTAAGGAACTAAACAACCAACCATATATAAAGATGTTTAAGCGTTGTGTGAATAAGGTTTCAGCAGTGCCATATCATTCTGTTAACGTAGAAGACAGAATTATGGAAACGAGACAAATCAGTGCTAGACAAAACTTAGAAAAACTGTATCGATAAAAAGACCAATATCCTTTGATTTAGTCGATAGAGTTTCAGGCAGAGCTCGGATCGAAAAAAAAATCAACAGAAAAAAACAATACACTGCCGGTCTCGGGTCGGAGACATTTCTCTTGACTTTCGCGACGAGAAACGTCTCTGAAAGGAACGTGGTCACTTACGAGAATCGGTCTGAGGGAGATCTTTTACATGTACGAGAAGAGTTATCTTTTAGTGACGTTGTCACTTTAACGTGTTACAAGAGAGGTTAAACTAAGAAACAATCTATTGGACTTACACAACTCTTCCATTGCTATCTGAAGATTTCGTCAAGAAGATTGTCATTTCGGTAGGTTTGATGCTACCTTCGGCAACCTGTGGGGGTGGTGGTGGGGAAGGAGCTGCAAGAGAAAAATGATGAACGTCGCAAACACAAAGGTCATGTAATAGACTAGAAATAAAATGACCAAGAAGGTAGGGAAAGCTTTATTTCACGTTTCTATATATATATAGCTTTAACCTATTATGTATTAGTTAAATCCAACTAGTGGTCTATTATCAATTCTGCGTTCTGATTGGTTGAGCTACTACTAGGCTATATGTTATAGCCCACTAGTAGCGAAAAGCGCCGGCTTTTTGGCGATAAAAAAGGATTAAAGTCTAGCTTTAACTAGTTGAAGTTGTTTTGTTTCGATATTTTTGACCAACTAGTTGGATTTTACTAAAACAATTATTCCTCTCGCCCTCGTGTCCTCTGAGTCAAGTAGGAACATTCGGGCAAGAGGAATAATTGTTAAATAGTCTGAGAAAACAGCTTCCATTTAGATATACCATGAACGATTTCCCCGCGAATTGACGTCTACGGAAGGAGGAAAGAATTTTTATACTGATGAAGTGTTGTTGGAAATCTTTGGATCATATTATTATCATCTTTGGCACAAGAACTTTTACCGTCAAACGGCATTGAGCTTACACACTGCATGTACATCATGCGGAAATGTACATCTACGAAGAAGGGAAACATTTGTAAGACATGAGATTCAACTTATTTACTACTCCCTAATTATTGCGGCTTAACGTGGTGGGGAGGTTTGTATGCCTTGATGACCCTGAAAGCTATACCACTTGGGTACGGGTCCCTAGTGGGTTCAAACATGCTGGGCAGGAGGCGAAAGGCTAGATGAATTGCAACGCCTGACTCTCCAGATTAAGGGCTAGGCGATTGGTTAATGTCACATCACCGTGAAAAGATATCCTTACTAAAATCAGGCACATTTTTCAAGATAACAGAGGCGTAGAAGTGTGGAGACATTATACGTAACGGAGCTCGAAGATGCGAGGTAAGGAGGTAACTGCTCTGTTTATCATTTTTTAAAAGAATTCTCTTGCAAATAACCTCTTTTTTAAAAGACTTTTACAGGATGACGAATACCCTTAACTAGTTTGATCTATCGAACTACTCTCTTCCTCTATTCCAGAAAAAGATCAATGCAACGCACACTACGTACATGTATCTCACATTGAAGAGGGGGATCAAGGGGGGCTCGCATGACGAGTTCACGAACAACAATTTTACGTTTCACGAGTCACGAAACAAATATTTACGTTTCACGTTTCTCTAAAATAGAGGTCGTGCCAAATGTCAAAAACGTTACGTTAATCCCTTGTTGTAGAACAATGTACTTCGATTAGATTACTAGAGTTTTACGATCCAATAAATTCCCAAGAGAAACCAGCTGTAGCTGAGTCTGACCGCACTGAAGTGTGAAAGTACATCAAAAGACTCAAAAGTGAAGTTTAGTCAAGCCACCAGGTGCTAGTTAAGGTCGTTTGGCCAAATTAACGATTCAATTTCTTCAATTGATCTTCAATGTACGTGTATACAATCGAGGATTTTGGCAGTTCAGGTTTTACGGAGATCTATTCAATCACGATTCACAGAACAGTTTTTCAGTACAGTACGATTCAAAGACACCAAAAATAGTCGATCACTGCGTCAAGAAGATAAGCTGGTGCCCCCCCCCCCCCCCCCCCTCTCTAAGATTTTTCTGAGTTTTTTTCTAAAGGATAAAACATCAGCACCTGACGAATTTCAGTGGCTGTTCGTTCATCCCTCGTTCACATTTGGAGACAAGTTTAGTGATGGTCAGTTGCTGTGGTTACGAGACATGACGTGATAAGTAGCAGGTGGTCAAGCCATTTTTGGGTAAAAATACATGTTTTAAATTTCAACTTGTTTCAGCGATAAAAGTAAATCTTGTGGCTAGAATTATGCAAAGTGCTTATTTCTGTCTTATTTTACATGTAAAGCACAAAAAAATACCATTTTTCCTGGTTTTAACCTGATTTCTAAAAAAATCCAATATTACGGCCAAGATGGCGACCATTGTTGGTGACGTCACAGGCCTTCAGCACCGCCACAACCCATAAAATATACCTCATCTTGTTAAGAAGATCAAAGGCCTTCCAGTAAAGGTAAAACTGTGTTTCTGTTTCGAAGTACTGCAACATATCAAAAACTCCGGGGAGGGGTTACATCCACCCACCCCCCCACCCCACCCCCACTTGTACCACGATGGGGATATGAATTTGCTTGTAGGGGTTAACCAATGAGAACGCTTCTCATTTTCGAATCAACCAATCCAAAACGAAGACATTTATCGACCTTAAAGTAACTAGAAAACCAAAAACAACTAAAAATAGCACACGACCTTATTTTAATGAAATTCCTGTGCATTTTATTCATGAGATAAAGACAAAAGGCTATGACCTCATCGGTGTTAATGTATTCCACATACCGCAAATTAATGAGATTCCACCGCAAAAAAAATCATCCCTCCTATACTACTCTTACCAACATTAATTCTTTCCTCGAGAGCAACCTCGTTATATTTTTAAGATAAAATGGTTTGATATAAGAAGTAATTATTGATCACAAATTACGCTTTGATCTTTTATCAAATTCTCTCAACTAATTCTTAAGGGAAAGGTCTGAAGATCAGTCTGGAGAATTTCTATGTGGATAAGCGGATTGAGATCCTGCCCCGTTAAAAAAAAATGTTTTGTCGCTCCTCTAATCCCTAAAAAAGTAGCCCTCAGATGTTTTATCCCTACTTTGAAAATATTTTAACAAATTAAGGAAAACGAAAATTGTGAGTCTGATAAAACCAATATGATACAAGAACGTGGCGAATCGCCTTTCTAAGCTTTTCGTAATGCGTAAATCAAGGGATTCAATAATGAACTCAACAGTCCCGAAACCCTCACCCAATGCAATCTGCGGTAGTTGCCAGAGGGGAAGATCGCCTATGTTTGTAAAATACATTTTCCATAACGAAACATGGTGTCCAGCAGAGGACAAAAACACCAACAAACAGGAACACTGAAAAAGCCATGTGCCTTTCACGCGTACGAATGTTTTCGGAACGATTGTCACTGCCTAACAATTTTTCACTCTCTGAAATAGAAAGATCGAGATCTTGCCGAATCCATTTTCGCACCAAGAGAAATATCCGTGAGTATATAAGAAACATGAGGACCATGACTGGAAATCCGATTGCGTCGGTGATTATGAGCCGGTACTCTGCCTCGTTGCATCTATTCAGAAGAGAAAGCAGTGCCACGCACAGGGCAATCAGCCATATGTAGACAATGACCNGTACTTTAGTTCCATGTGTTTTCATGTGTTTTTCGACAAACTTTCAAACAAGCTCTTGTGGCTTTTTTGTTTGTTTTTGTCTTTTTCTTTCGATGAAATTGCATTTCTAGTATTCTAAGAAATGAATTAAAACACTTTGCTTCGGGCGCCGTTCTATGCTCCGCGAAAAAAATCTCAGCTAGTTTCTAATTTTAAACTGACTCGTACACCGACCATATATGGAGAGCATAGCTCATATACCATAACGGCTAAGCCAATCAAAATGCTAGAATTGCATTTTCCAATGATTCAGTTTTTAATAATTGGAAATAGTTGATATACTATTTATTGTATAAGACTCCAAATAAAAATACCATTTTTCACGAAAAAGGTACCTCTTTCGTATACCTTCTATTGACAAATGGTATACCCCGTTCACATACCTTGTTTAGAACTTTGCATCCCTTTTAACTGCTCTAATTGCACTGTCTTTTAAAATAGGAATCAATCACAAAAATAGAACGTTTTCTCGACTTTATAAAGCCATAAAATTCATCTGTTAGCCCTTGGGCCCTTTTACAGACCCAAACGACAGATTTCCCTACCCTTTTCTGTACTTCAACGAGTGAAATCCCTACCCTTTCACATACCTGAAGCCTGAAAAAGCTACCCCTTTTCGAAGGAGCCTCTCCGTATAGGCCATCATAGGGAGTACCCCCCTCTCTGGGAGTACATCTCTTATTCCATGCATCACTAGTGAAAACAAGCCTTTTCTATAGACTGTTCGCTTAATCCCCGTGCAATACCTCCTCTCTGACCCTGGGTTACAAAAATAGATAAAAGGGCATGTAAACATATTTTCCACTCACCTCGTATTTGATTATTATTCCATTAGGATTAACTGGTTCTTCCCAAAATACATCAATATTATCTTCCTTTAACTTGGCCCTGACATTCGTCGGCTTACTTGGCACTAAAGGTTAAAGAACATTGACAGATAAGAATTTGATGTAATATATTGCCTCTTTCGATACACAATTCTTCATGCCACGTTTTCAAAGTGCGATTTCAAATCGCCCGTGAAAATACCTGAAGTTTATAAGGCGATTCTTAGTTGCGAAAACTAATCTATTTCGAACGAAGCATCCCCGGCTTCAACATTTGATTCAATTTATTGTTAACTTCCAGAGAAAGAGTTAACACCAAAATCCTCTGTGGGCAAATACACGTATGTGTTTACAAACAAAATTAAATACAAGTAACTACAAGGAATAGTACATTCGTCTTTGGCCGTGGACATGGAAAATCGCACGAATAAATAAGAATAACTAAGCTATAAAAAAGGGGGTACAAGGCTAGGCACAAAAATAATTCAAATTTACCTCCTTCCCAAGTTTTTGCGGTGAAATAAGCCATCTCTCCTAGCTCAATGGTTCTGGCTTGTATCGTAAAGTTAAAGTTTGTATACGGCCTAAGTTTGGATACTTGTAGGCTCTCTTCTTTTTTGGGTCCCTTGGTTACATTTTTGTTATAAACCTCTCTCCAAGTTTTAGTTTCATAAGCTCTGATATGGTAAGATCTTATGATTCCATTGCCATTGACAGGTTCTTCCCATGTAATGAAGATTTCATTATCTGATAAGACTCTACCAACAAATTTTCCTGGGGGACCAGGACCTGTAGAAATGCAGAACGAAAAAGAATAAATA